CGTGTATGTAGGTGTATGTATGTATATATACGCGCGTAAGGTTACCGCGGAAGCATTCAAACCGCTTCAGTATGATCGCTCAATACATCACATGGCTTACCGTGTAAAAGCCAGCCACAACATTTTCTGACGACTCTTATCCCTTTAGTTTCAGGAAAAAAACAACAACTGGCAACTCACTTTAGGCGTACTCTTACTCGCCAATCTTCTTTTGTGAAAAAAATAAAGTAGTGTAGAATGGAGCAAGTTCCAGTAATAATAACAATGATAATGAAATAATACATATACTGTTTACAAGTTTTATAAATACACAAAGGTAAACAAAAGTGACACATGATTAGAATTCAAAAAAGGAAACATGACGAATCGGAGTTACCCAAAGTGCGGGTTGAGTTGCCAGTACGCACTATATGTACCCTGTTTCTACTCTGGCTCAAGGAATTGTCTTTAAGCACATTTGACAACCTGTATTCCATAAATAGTAGGGGACTAGACTCTATGAACAATAATGAGCACTGAACAAATATCTTGATATAATCGGAATTATTCAGGAAAGTAGTAAAGTCAACATGCAAATATATATATGTATGTTGTATATGTATTGTATAATATATATATATATATATATATATATATATATATATATATATATATATATATATATATATATATATATATATAAATAGAGAGAGAGAGAGAGAGAGAGAGAGAGAGAGAGAGAGAGAGAGAGAGAGAGAGAGAGAGAGAGAGAGAAAGAAAGAAAGAGAGAATAATAGAGAGAGAGAGAAAGAGAAAAGAATGAGATAGAAAGATTACCCACCCGTACCACGCGCACACACAGCAAATCGCAAACACACTCGCACACATGGAAGCCCACACGTAACTTCCCAACCGCTAGACCTTCGGGAACCGGATATATAGAGCAGCGAAGGTCCTTCGGGAAACGGGCCGGTTGAACGTCGCGGGAAACGTCGCTCGGCTGTTTCATCTTAACTTTTTTTTTTTTTTTTTTTTTTTTTCTTTGGTTTCTGTAAATGCGTGACTTGGTTTAGCATTTTCTGAATAATATATGTATATTTTGTGTCTGTCTGTGTGTGCATGTATATATATATATATATATAATATATACATATATAGTATCTATATCTATTTATCTATCTATATATATGATATATATATATATATATAAATTATATATAATCAAATATAGATGGATAGATGGATAGCGATAAATAGATGAACAGATAAATCGATAGGTAGATAGACAGATATGGATAGACGATGAGACAATATATATACTTATACACAGAGGGTCCTCGGTCTCGACTTACGACGTTTCGTGGATACGACGCTAGAAATCATGAACAGTATTTGCAGTTTGTCTTCCATGCGTTCCTTTAGCCCTAGTTATGTTTTCATGTGCGTCATAGAAGTGTCTTATGTTTTAGATTATGACTTTAAAACGTGTATACATACTGCATTAGCATGTGTGAATGACTTCGGTGCTTATGTACGTAACACATGTACTGTATTCAGGTTACGACGCCATCGTTGGGACCCATATATGGATGTACATATATATATATATATTTACACACGTTCACATCCTTCTCTCTCTGTATATGTTTATGGACGGGGGGGGGGGGGGAGCATTTGTATTTTGTAGGGAAAGGAACGAAGTGAAGAAAAGGTAAACACACGTGTATGGCAAGAGCATTTTCACAGAAGAATCAATTAAGAAAGAGTCTCTTCTTCCCTTCTATGTTGTTGTTAATGTGTGTGTGTGTGTGTGTGTGTGTGTGTGTGTGTGTGTGTGTGTGTGTGTGTGTGTGTGTGTGTGTGTGTGTGTGTGTGTGTGTGTGTGTGTGTGGGCGCGAGCACGATTTTTTTTTGCATTCATTCTGAAGACACTCCCACTAACTGACGGGAGCGAAAACACAAATATGAAAAAGAACGAAGAAAGAAGAAAAGAACCAAAGATACGGTGAAAAGAGCTCGCTATTACCGCAATACGATACCCGTAATATGGCAACATTACACCGGGAAGAGACGCGACTGTCACTTGTTTTGGGAAATAATGTCGACATTGATTCGCAATTAACTTCTTCCGCTCAGAAAATCATTACAGATGATTTTATTGCAAAGAATCGGGGGAGATTCGAATGCAATATGAGGATAAAAAGGTTAGTTGTGATTAATGATTTAGGGGTAACCTTAATGAAGGGTGAAAGCCATCAACATTAGTATATAAGGAGTAAATGGTAGTTGTACTGGAACTGCCTATATCATTATCGTTATTAGAATCATATAAATAAAACTCTTGTTGCTGCATACGGCATTTAGTACAATAATACGTTGCTTATGAGAACTGTCACCTTGTTATTAACCTCACTATTATAATTTCTATATTCTGTCTACTAAAAAAAAATCTACACTATCCTTTTTCATATTTAGCATATCTGAATGATCTACACTTTTCTCTACCACAAAAAAACGCACACCACAAAATATAAGACAGAAAGAAAGAAAATAAAAGAAAATATTAAACCTTCGCTTACCACATGGAGCGGCAAATGAAAACGAGTTCCCGAGACGCTCAACAGATGGCGCAGTTTTCGCCAACCTTGTAAACACCAGCGAGAAAGCATTATCAACGTCTTCTAAAAGGGGGAACCCATTTACTTACACCCGGTAAAGGGCGTGTGATAAATATAACTCCTGGTGTTTAACGAGGGATAATAAGGAGAGTGATATTAATGTGATATGTGTGTAATTACTCAACCGTCAGCTGGAAGGGCGGGCGAGACAATGTGAGAAGGAGAGAATGTTAGAGGCTGAGCGTAAGTTGGGGGAAGGTTTCGGTCGTCTGAAGTTATAACATTACGCTCTACGCGCTGTGGAGATATATGGCTGGGATGATTTTAGTACTTGTGCTGCTGTGGAAGGTTTATATTTAGAGATATATATTCACACAACTCTCTCTCTCTCTTTTCTTCTCTCTCCCCCTCTCTCTCTCTCTCTCTCTCTCTCTCTCTCTCTCTCTCTCTCTCTCTCTCTCTCTCTCTCTCTCTCTCTCTCTCTCTCTCTCTCTCTCTCTCTCTCTCTCTCTTCCCTCACTCTCTCTCTCTCTCTTCTCTCTCTCTCTCTCTCTCTTCTCTCTCTTCTCTCTCTCTCTCTCTCTCTCTCTCTCTCTCTCTCTCTCTCTCTCTCTCTCTCTCTCTCTCTCTCTCTCTCTCTCTCTCTCTCTCTCTCTCTCTCTCTCTCTCTCTCTCTCTCTTCTCTCTCTCTCTCTCTCTCTCTCTCTCTCTCTCTATATTATAATATATATTATATATATATATATATATATATATATATATATATATATATATATATAATGAGTGTGTGTGTGTGTGTGTGTATTTTACATATGCACACATTCGGACATATACACACAAATGCACATCGCTTACCTTCGCGGCTTCCGGGCAGGAGCGGCGCCCATTCCGCGCACGCACGAGGGAGGGCGATATACGAGGCAGGTTTACCGGGCGTGGAGTGGGCGCAGTTGTATCCCTAACAGGCGGACGGAGAAATGAAGTCTGCGGACGCCAGAGAATTCTCTTTTTCACTTCCGGTGCAATTTGCGGCGAGTGAAAGGCGTGGAAGTGAAAGACGCGAGGAACTGATGATACCGAGAGGCAATTAGTGACACCGAGGAGTTGATCTTTTAATCGACTCGGCCTTCGATTGCGCCGACAGATTTTTTGCGCTTCGATTTTTTTTTTTATGTCAATACAGGGTAATAAGAGTGGAAGGGAATGGAGAGGCGATAAGACGATGAAGAAAGAAAGAAAGAAAACAAACAAACACGGTACTTGGAATAAGAGTGGAAGGGAATGGAGAGGCGATAAGACGATGAAGAAAGAAAGAAAGAAAACAAACAAACACGATACTTGGTATAAGAGTGGAAGGGAATGGATAAACGATAAGATGAAGAAAGAAAGAAAGAAAACAAACAAACACGATACTTGGAATAAGAGTGGAAGGGAATGGGTAAACGATAAGACGATGAAGAAAAGAAAGAAAGAAAGAAAACAAACAAACAAACACGAAAATAACCTTATAGATGTATTCGACATTATGAGACATTTATTCGTTATGAATCAGGGGTCAATAGACAGCATAAACAAGACACATCTACTATTGATAGCCTTTCCAAAATTCAATTCCTATTTATCTATTTCACTGTATCACTAATTCCTCTTCATGATATTCTCTTTCATCTTTTAAAACTCTATTTTATATCATCTTATCATTCAATATCTTACCTTTACTCTCAGCTTTATACCATGGCCAACGAGTGTGTACAAAGAAAAAGCCCAAACTTATATAGATTACCTTTACTCTCTGCTCTATGCCATGACCAACAAGTATGTACAAAGAAGAAGCCCAAACTTCATGTTGTTTCTTCTCTTGCAGAAAACGGAGTTCGCTGAGCGGTTACACTACTAACAAAACACCGTCACTGTGCAAAGTCGGGGAATTTCTTGCCTGAACAACTTGTGGGAAAAAGTTCTTGGTACAGACAGAAGAACAAATAACAAGAAGAAACCAGATTGTTGGTGGATAGAAAAAAAAAGTTATTTCGATTAAAGAATAAGCATTTTTCTATATATAAAAAGGAATGCTTATTTCTCAAGAACTTTGATTTCTTCTTAAATAATCCGAATGATTCAATATGACTATTTATTTTCAGAATAGTCTAAGAGATAGATAAAAAAATCATAAATTACTCTACAAACAAACCTTGACAACTGACAAAAAAGAGAAAAACAAGAAGAGGAAGAAGAAAAAAAGAAAAGAAAAAGAGAGAGGAGAGAGAGAGAGAGAGAGAGAGAGAGAGAGAGAGAGAGAGAGAGAGAGAGAGGAGAGAGAGAGAGAGAGAGAGAGAGAGAGAGAGAGAGGAGAGAAAAGAGAGAGAAGAAAAGAAGAAAAGAAGAAAAGAGAAAGAAAAAGAAGAAAGAAAAAAGAAAAAAGAAAAAAAAAAAAAAGAAGAGAGAGAAAAGGAGAAAAAAAAAAAAATAAAAGAATAACCAAACCCACGACACTCCAACGAAGATATCCCAGATGTCACAGTCACACCCGACAGGAAATCTTTACGAAGAAAACACAAGAAAAATCTAGAACTCCTACCGTTGTACTAGAAGATTCTGGAACACTGTGAAGTCGCGCCGTCTTCTGGAAAACATGGAGTTGACCTTCAAAATCCGCTTCACTGAGATTCTGCAATTGCTTCTCGTCTTCTCTCAAGGTGAGTGTTGGAGCTGTTGCAACCGCGGGCTTGTCTCTCTGCCTCTGTGTGTGCTTATCTTTGTTCTGTCTGTCTGTCTTTCTTTCTCTTTGTTTCTGTTTGTTTGTCTTGTCTCTCTGACTCTGTGTGTGTGTGCTTGTCTGTCCTTTTGGCTTTCTCTTTGTTTCTGTCTGTTGTCTTTTTCTTCCTCTCCTTTCTCTTTGTTTCTGTCTGTTTTTTCTTTCTTTCTCTCTTTCTCTCTTCTTCTCTTTGTTCTGTCTGTTTGTTTCTTCTCTCTTTCTCTTTGTTTCTGTTGTGTCTTTCTTTCTCTCTTCTTCTTTGTTTCTTTTCTCTTTCTCTTTGTTTCTGTCTGTTTGTCTTTCTCTTCTCTCTTTTCTTTGTTCTGGTCTGTTGTCTTTCTTTCTCTCTTTCTTTCTCTTTTCTCTTTGTTTCTGTCTTTTGTTCTTTCTCTCTTTCTCTTTGTTGTCTGTTTGTCTTCTTTCTCTCTTTCTCTTTGTTTTGTTTGTTGTCTTTCTTTTCTTTGTTTCTGTTGTTTGTCTTTCTTTCTCTCTTTCTCTTTGTTTCTGTCTGTTTGTTTTCTTTCCTCTTTCTCTTTGTTTCTGTCTGTTTGTCTTCTTTCTCTCTTTCTCTTGTTTCTGTGTTTTTCTTTCTTTCTCTCTTCTCTTGTTTCTGTCTGTTTGTCTTTCTTTCTCTCTTTCTCTTTTTTCTGTCTGTTTGTCTTTCTTCTCTCTTTCTCTTTGTTTCTGTCTGTTTTTCTTTCTTTCTCTCTTTCTCTTTGTTTTCTGTCTGTTTTTCTTTCTTTCTCTCTTTCTCTTTGTTTCTGTCTGTTTGTCTTTCTTTCTCTTTTTCTTTGTTTGTCTGTTTGTCTTTCTTTCTCTCTTCTCTTTGTTTCTGTTGTTTTTCTTCTTTCTCTTCTTCTCTTTGTTTCTGTTTGTTTGTCTTTCTTTCTTCTTTTCTCTTCTGTCTTTGTTTCTGTCTGTTTGTCTGTTTCTGTCTTTGTTTCTGTCTGTTTGTCTTTCTTTCTCTCTTTCTCTTTGTTTCTGTCTTGTCTTTCTTTCTTTCTCTTTGTTTCTGTTTGTTTGTCTTTCTTTCTCTCTTTCTCTTTGTTTCTGTTTGTTTGTCTTTCTCTCTCTTTCTCTTTGTTTCTGTTTTGTTTTCTTTCTTTCTCTCTTTCTCTTTGTTTTCTGTCTGTTTGTCTTCTTTCTCTCTTTCTCTTTGTTTCTGTCTGTTTGTCTTTCTTTCTCTCTTTCTCTTTGTTTCTGTCTGTTTGTCTTTCTCTCTTTCTCTTTGTCTCTGTCAGTCTGTCTCTTTCTCTTTGCATTTGTCTGTCTGTCTCCCTCTATCTCTGCCCGTCTGTCTGTCTTTGCCTGTCTGTTAGTTTGCTCTCTCTCTCTCTCTCTCTCTATCTCCCTCGCTCTCTTTCTCGCTCTCGTTCTCTCTCTCTCTCACTCTCGTCTCTCTCTCTCTCTCTCTCTCTCTCTCTCTCTCTCTCTCTCTCTCTCTCTCTCTCTCTCTCTCTCTCTCTCTCTCTCTCTCTCTCCCTCTCTCTCTCTCTCTCTCTCTCTCCCTCCCTCTACACCTATTTATCTTTCTTTCTCATTCTCATGTAATTTCTTTTCCATCTGCCATTTTGCTTTTTCTTCATTCTTATAACATGCAAGAAGCAAGAAATCCAAGCAATTGCAAGCACGAACAAGAACACTCTTGTTCTCCTTTTAATTGGCCTTTTCTTTTTCTTTGCTTCTTGTTCACTTCTTCCAAATCTTTTCGTCTTTTTTCCTGTCGCAGAATTTTTCGTTCGACGACACTGAGCGAAGCAGAATCTTTTTCAGAGCAAGAATTTCTTAATGCGATTGAGCTGTTCCTGTCCCCCGACTGGTGTGCAATGAATCAGCTGATTTTTGCAACAGCTGATGAGACTCAATCATGCTATTACATTTATTTATAGCTTTTTTATGTGGTTCATTATTTTTAAAACTGCTGTGCAATTTTTCACTTTTATAACCCTTTGTTAAGCTTGATGCTGTTGTAAATTTCACAGAAGATTTTGCATATAAGTGGGTAATAGGTAGTTAGAAATAACAAGAAAATAATAACATTTTAAGTATTTACTAATGACACTTTATTGACGATAGTTGAAATCTAGATTATGATATAGATAATGATAATGGGGAGGATTATGAAAATAACGGTTATTATCATGGTAA